CCTTTGACCGAGATGTGAATGCCCATGATTTGCTCGGTATAGTGATGGATTTCATGGCCGACGTCTAACCAGCACGAATACGCTATCCTAGATGGAAACGACTTCCCCGCGGAGCATTTTCTCTTTCGTCCTCGGACGTTCAGACCTTTTGTTTGATTCCGACACTTGCGTTCTCATGCTCGGAACCCTCGCGACTGATTGGGAGAAAGAGCGAAAGCGAGAAAGATGGATTGTTATCCATCGGAAATCGATAGGAATTCCACGGGGATTGCCTTCTCTTCTAATATCTATATATGTTTTTATTTCATTATTAACATCCAATCCCATGCTAATAAGAAAAACGAGCGATTGCTAGTCAGCTTTCATTTTCTTAAAAAAAATGGTAGGGACTGAGGCTCTGAAGGCTTTACAACTTTCTTCAATTAGGGAATAGCGCAGATGGATCAATCACGCGGTTCTGCAGTGTCCTCCAACTCGCTGTCCGCGCCCCTTCACTTTCTTTGCTGGACGGGAAGATGCGAATCGTGAAGGCCTTCCCACCACGCGAAGTTCAAACCTCGCCGGAGAGGAATTGAAAACCGGAAAAAAAGCCCTTCGCAATCGAAGGTGAAAGCGAAAAAGACGACGAAAGCCTTTTTTCTTTCTTTTTCAGCCGACTTGAAAGGTGCTCTCAGTGTACCACCATACGCACCCAGACATTAGACCAAGCAGGAACCGGGGATCAAAGTTCCATTGATTCATCTATCTCAAATAGGGAAAAAACGGAATCAAGAAGGGGTCAGCTGAGCTCGAAAGGGGTAGCCCGGTCGTCGGCTAGGAGCTCTGGCCAGCAACGAAACTAAAGCTTCACACTGGTCCACTCGTCCATCGGCTAAGTTCCAACTCTATGTTGATAAGAAAAAAGAAAATCCCCTAAGAAGAGGACTTTCAACTATTCCAAAAAGAAAGGGGCAATTAAAATGCTTCATAGATAACCCCTATGTCTCTTCCCGTCCAACTCATCGGGAGATCGAAGAGCGGTTTGCGCTTCGCGCCCCAACCCCCTTAACTAATGGATGCTTAGATACCTGCAACTGAATCTGTAAGCGGCACAGGGCAGGATGGACGAGAAAAGCGGCATATCTCAACCAATTGGACTACCGATCAAGCAGAGATTGTATTGTAGCTTAACTTCTTAAACAAAGCCGGCTCCAGTTCTATTCAGAATAGGGCAAGAAAGCGACTTGCCGCCTCAGTCACGAAGGAATACCGAAGAGCCTAAAGAGGGTGTTAGAATGCAGCTAGATAGAGAACTATAAGATAAGAGGGATTCCATGGGTGAGAAGGCTGACATGAAGGCTCTCATTCCAAACCGGTAAAGCGCAAGGGGCAAGCAGTTGACTCTTTCACTCGGACTCACTAGCAACTCCAGGAGCGACCCCTCATCATCTTACGATGAAAAGCAGGTTTATTCCGTGGTAAACCACAACGAGTAAGCGAGATAGGGTGAGGTAAAGCCTCAGACCGGTCAAAGGAGCCTCCGTAAAACCTCATCAGACAGGTAGCGGAAGCTGATAGAAAGGGGCGATGAGCTCAGTAGAGGAGAAGCCGTCCTGATGAAATAGAAAGCCCTAGCTATGAGTGACTCAAATCTAGCCGTGATGCGCGAGGGCCAATATTCAAATGAAAGCAAGGGGCTGATTGCCCTCATGGGGAAGGGATGAATACGAGCAGTCGGAAGAGCAGCTCTCTCAGAAGCAACCAATCCAAGAATTGATGGATTTGGTAGAGTGCCAGTCACAACACTAGAACCAAGTTAGGTGAGCTTGAAGGCATCGGTTGAAGCCCTTAGTTGCAAGGTCTTTGACTGTGCCCAAGAAAGGGATGGATAATAGATCTTAGATAGTTCCCACTTCCACTTAACAAAGGAAAAATATCACACACTACACAAGACAATCATGTGCAAGCTGCTTGAGTTGAATCAGCCTCAATTCCTCTCTCACTCACGATGAAAGCTAAAAGCTTGCTCGAAGACAGCCTTTACTTTATAGTTGTAATCTATCCTATCCTATCCTTTAGGCGGGGATAGGTTCATAGGAAGACTTGGTTACATAGGAAGGAAAGGCTTAAACTAGAAGGGATAAGAAAGGGAATTTGTGCAACACTCTTAGTAGAAGGCCGAGTTGAAACTCCCTCTATCCGCGTACAGGACAAGCAAGTTATTGAGGGCTCTTTATGCCAAATACTTTGACACTACAGGGGAGAAAACCAGAAATCTCCTAAGCAATAAAGATCTTCCTATTGATACTAGCATTAGTGCGACTGGCTCCGGGGGAAAAGGAATTACACTAGATCTTGGCAATGGCACTCCAACAAGCTCGGCATGGAGAGAAAGAAGAGAAGGAAAAGAGGAAGTACGACGAAAAGGGTATGAAATAGGTTGCTTGTAGCGATTTCGATTGCTTATTCGGTTGGGATTACCAGCCGACTTGCCTGACCAAAGAATAAGATAAAAAGAAGAGTTCCCGCCTACGGCTACATGCCCATTCAGAGATATACCTGGAGTCGAGCTAACTGCATAAGAAAAGGGGAACTTTCCTAAAAAGTCTTCACATCCTAGTGCCCAGCCGGACAAGGAGCCTGTGTTACTAATTGGCTTGATAGTTCAAGTAGTAAAGGAGGTCTGTGGTAGTCAAGTATGTCTGTGGTTAGAGGATAAAAGCAGTGAATCTTAGTACCCTGTAAGCGTGAAGTCAGGCTTTTCTAACTCCTAGTTGGCTAGTAGAAGGATAGAGACTAAAGTTAGTTTACCCGAAGCAAAGTCAAGAGAGAAAGGTGGTAGCTCTCCATGCAAGCTATTCTAGCAAGTCTTTTGTGGAGGAGGAGTAGCACTAGGCAAGTAACTTATTTCACTAGTTGAGATACACAGATTACTCATGGTTGTACGAGCTTGAATAGTAGTTTGGGGGGAAAGGCCTTGGTGATTCTCCCATTTTGAAATATGAAGATAGAAAACCATAATTTTTCCAAACTTCACTTAAAGAGTCTCGTATCCATGCTGCCTCGACTTTAATTTAAACTCGATGTTTGTTAACTAAGCGGGACACCCCCAAACTCTTTCTTATCAAAGCCCTTCCCCTTGTACAGCCTTACCAGGCAGGCTGTTTTCATTATGTGTTCTTTACGGGAGGTTAGGAGTGAATTAAGCCAATGCGTACAAATAGACAGACCAGGCTCATCCTTTTATGTTGAGGTCGCAAGTCTGTCTATGATTAAGAGTCTAGGTGGTGTTGAAGCTGGCGGACCGAACGGGACTACATTAATATAATAGGCGGCAAAGCGGAATA